CCGGCTAGGGCAGAGGAGAAGCAGGAACCTAGCTGGGGCAGGGGAGAAGCAAGAACCCAGCAGGAACCCGGCCAGGGCAGGGGAGAAGCAGGAACCCAGCAGGAACCCGGCCAGGGCAGGGGAGAAGCAGGAACCCAGCAGGAACCCGGCCAGGGCAGGGGAGAAGCAGGAACCCAGCAGGAACCCGGCCAGGGCAGGGGAGAAGCAGGAACCCAGCTAGGGCAGGGCAGAAGCTGGAACCCCCCAGAACAGAGGCAGAGGCAAGACAGAGTTTGAAGATACTGAGAAACAGGAGTCCACAGGCTCTAGGTGTCTCCATCATCTGCCTCAGTTTTAGCCTGGATCCACAACCAGGTCATGGGGATTATTTAGAGCTAAAGGGAACTTGGGTATTGTCTAGTGACCAGATTCTAGTCCAATCATTTCATTTTGCAGATGGGGAAACTGAGGAAGTACTTTAATGCTTCCAATTATTTCCCAGGCCTCAGTTTCTTCATCAGTAAAATGATGTTAGACTGGTTGGCTTTTGTGGTCCTTTTCCAGCTCTCGAGCTGTGATCTTGTGGGAGAATGGGATTTGGGACCACCTCTATCAGGGTCTTATAGACGGCGATGCAGGTGAACCAATGAATCAAGCAATGAAAAGCATTTATGAAGTGCCTGCTACGAGGCAGGCAGGGTGCTAGGTTCTGGAGGTAGAAATAGGAAAAACGAAACAGCCCTCCCCTCAAGGAGTTTACGGTGTTGCCAACATACGTATACACACACACACACACACACACACACACACACACACACACACACATACACGTACAATAGACGTATATCAACTCACATAGGTACATATGGTATTATACATAGATGTGTGGTTTATGTATACACCTACAAGCACACATACATGTAATATTATACATATTTAATATATTCATGATGTATTATGCTTGCATATCTGCATGTATGCCTGTATGTATATGAAACACATGCCCTGGGTCTACTCTCCCAAAGCCCTAGTCCCATGGCAGGTGGGGTTCTCAGAGGACAACTATTGTTTTTCTCTTTAGGGTTCTAGGAAATCCTGAGAAGCTTGGTAGAGGAAGGGGTAGCAGTGTCTAATGCTATGGCTATGAGCCCCCCATGAACAATATGCTTTCCCCACTGATAATCAGTTTAAAGCACTTAGCCAGCTAGACCCAATTATCTTTTGGAAATAGGCATTTGTTAAGGTGGTATGGTAATTAGAGTGGGCATAAATATTCCCTCCCCAACCCCAGCTCCCCTGCTCCGATCAGGGGCACAGTCTCCCTCAAGTGCACCACGAGACCAGGAGAAGTTGACTCAGGATAAAAAGGAGTCCCTCTCTCCACCCTGTGGGGTCCCCTCACTCCCCGAAGTGTGTTATTTGGAGCTCAGCTCTGGATGCAGACTTGGTCAGATGTCAAGCACTGGTGTTCTGGAGATGCTGCTGGGACACCCAGGGGAAGTCTGAGATCTAGCCTTTAGAAGTTCACAAGGTTTCCCGTTAACTTCGGGGTGAGGCTTGGGGAGGAGAGAGAGGCTCTTCTCTTCCCGCCTTCCATTCTTCTCCCAAGTGATTTCCTCAAGGCAGCTTGGTTATACAGCTCTCGCATCTGAGCTGGATTTGCTATTTTGTACAAACTCACAGGCTATGCCTGAGTCCCTTTAACCAAGCCCCACACCCTTCCTGTGTTACCTTTGTTACTTTCTTTTTATTTTGCTGGGGGTAGGGGGGCAAGGAAATTGGGTTAAGCGACTTGCCCAGAGTCACAGAGTTAGTAAGTATTATGTGTGTGAGGCAGAATTTGAACTCAAATCCTCCCGACTCCAGGGCCAGGGCTCTATCCACTGTGCTACCTAACTGCCACCCATGTTACTTTCCTAAACCACATATCTTACCCTATTCCTCCCCTGATCAACAACCTTCAATGACTCCCTATTACCTGTAGGACCAAAGTCACATCCCTTCACTTGGGATTTCAAGTCCAACAGAATCAGGTCCCATCCTGCCTTTCTAACTCATTATATTCTTCACATGTTACCTCCCTCAATGATCAAACTAAACTGGCTTCATCTCCAAGTTCCTCCCCAGCTTCATTTAGGTCTTAATTCCAGTTCTGCTTCTTGCTACCCATGTGATCTTGGACAAGTCATTTAACCTCTATAGGACGTACTTCAAATCATTTAGAGACGGAAGGACTTTAGTCTATTCCCCTGATTTTTAGAACGAGAAAAGTAAGGTCAGAGAGAGGGTAAGGTCCAAGGTCACACAACTGATAAGTAGCCACGCAGGACGTAGGAATGGGTGGAGAACTGGTTTGCCTGGGAACTCCCAGGAGGGGTATGGGCAAAACACAAAGGTCCCTTTGTTTCAGCTGATCCTCTTCCTGGGAATGATGTCAGACCCTCTCTCTACTCCAGAGGGCCCCCACTGTTAGTAGAAAAAAGTGCAGCCTTGGCCACCCATTCCCTAGGAAGCTAAGGAGAAAAGCGATACATTTAGAGCTGGAAAGGACCTCAGAGGTCACCCAGTCCAACCCCCTCATTTTCCAGATAAGAAACCTGGCCACCTTCTCCAGGAAGTCTGCCCTGATTCTCTTCGCCAATAATGGCCTTGGCCCTCAGACCTCCCAAAGCTGCTTGTTTCTGCCCTCTCAAATACGCTCATGTAACATCACTTATATGTGTTAGTGAGCTGCCTGGAAAACACCAACAACGAGATGAGAGAAACAGCTTCTGCCTTTCCATTCCTACCTCTGTACCTTTGCTTCTGCTGATTTCCTTGCCTGAAGTGCCATCCTACCTTCTCTATTCAAACCTATTTCCCATTCCCATCTCCTTAAAGAAATGGCTCCTTATCTAAACTTGATATTTCTATTCACATCCCAGTTTTGCTAGATTGAATTGAACTATCACAAGCTATCTCTGGACCTCAGTTTCCTTATCTGTAAAATGGGGGAGCATTTGGGTCTTAAGATCCCGTGGAAACCAGGCAGTTGGGGGGGGCTCACATCTGGTACTACTCCTCATCCTTGTCCCCTGCCTCTGTCACTTATGACCTGTATGACCAGAGCAGTTGGTTTCACCACAGTGGCCTGAATTTTCTCATTTGTAACATGGGGAAGTTGTACACCATGACCTCTAGAGCACCCTCCACCTTCAGATCTGTGAACCTATGACTTGGGTTTGGACCTTGGATCTGTGACTTTGGGTGACTCGCCCAATCTCCCTGGGCCTCAGTCTCTACAGATATAACATAAGGGGGCTGAACCAGATGACTTCTGAAGCCTCTAGGTCTGTGGTCCCATGATCTAATCTGGCCTCAATGTCTTCACCTGTAAAATGGAAGACAGGATGGGATGGCCTCTGAGATTGCTTTCTGCTCTGGTTATGCTCCTGGGCATATAATAAATGCTGATTAAACAAAGGAGCCAATCTGGTGGCCCAGGCTCAGCACTGTCACCAGGAATTTTCACCTGGGAGCAAACATGATAACTGGGAAGGGGCACGTGGAGGCAGGGCATGAGAGAAGCCAGCCACAGGTGCAGCTGCGTGGGGTGGGATAGACTCACCTGAAGCCCCTGGGAGATTAAGGTGGAGCCGGAAGAGTGGCTACCGCAGTGATTGACCCCTGGGGTGGCACCTGGGAGCCATGCACAAGCCGGAATACCAAAGGGAGGGACGAGCACCAAAGTCACCATGAGAAGGAAACTCAGCCCTGCCAGATGGGGGCACCCTGGGGCACAGCTCCATTTGCCTTGTACTAGTTATGACTCTACTGGGCCTTCCATCACTCTTCTCCACCTGCCCTAGTTGTACTGGAAGGAAGCCTGGATTTGAAGTTTGAGGCTCTGTGACTGTTGACTCATCCTCTGCACTATGTGGGCTTCAGTTCCATCTTCTATAAAATGACAGAGTTGAATCAGCTCTGAATTCCATGACCCCGTGATCCTTCTTTGCCTTTTGGTGGAAGATTGAGGCCCCATTGGAGAGGGAATCTGTGGACACACTAGGAAACATTGGTCATGGCGCCATAGTGGAAGGGGCCTGGCGGTCATCTAGTCCACCCCCTACCTTTTACAGATGAGGAAACTAGAGTCCAAGAATGAGGAAAGAGACTTTTGACATTTCATAAAATCCCAGAATCTCCAAATTGGAAGGAACCATGGAAGCCATCCAGCCCAAACCGTAACTCAATAGCAATTCCTTCAATCAATCTGTCGATCTACCACATTTATGAAATACAAAGCACTGTGCTCGATGCTGGGGGCACAGGGACAAAGAATGAAAGAGCGTCTCCCTGTGAGGGAGACAACAATATACACATATAGCCATTATAACCAGGGTATGTGTGGGTAAATGTTTAACAATTGGCTCTCTGGGGGTGGGGGGGGGATGCAGGCCACATTTTTGCTTTTATCTGCCATATTAACTTTTTCTCCATTACTGTCTCCAGTCTAGTCAAGTCAGCCAAACAATAAATCAAGACCTGATCTGTATCATTTGGGGATTTCCCAGGTGTAAATGCTCATGTTGAAAATTTAACAATCGACTTGCTGTTTGAACTAGCTCCAGCACATGTCTGAAGAGAATGAATACAAAGTAATTGGACACAAGGTCATTTGGTAACTTTGTAATTTGGGGGAGATCAGAAGAGGCTTTTGGCAGAAGATGGTGCTGAAGCTGTGTCTTAAAGGAGGAGAAGGATTCTATTTGGCTGAGGAGAGGTCTACCTTTCCTGCATGGCGGGTGCTAAATTAAATAAAGAAGAGAAGAGCACAGCATGAGCGCCTGCCCCTGCAGGCTCAGCGGCAGCAGCCTCCCCATTCACGGTGCCAGGGTGACCTTCTTTTAAGGTGCTCTGGTGCGATGGGGCTCCCAGGCACCCACAGGGGCCCAAACTTCTCTTTCAAACCACATGCCCCGCCTCCTGTGCACGGTGGTGCAGGGGGGAGGAGGAGGCAGCAGATTGAGTAAGTCAGTTCCCCTTCCGCTTCTCCTCACTGCTTTCCAACGACCTGCCAATCTACCAGCCTGTTAATTATTATTTTTGCTTCTTCTCTCTGTGTCTCTCCTTGGGAGGCCGGCTTCTCGTTCCTTGGCTGCCCGGGAGGAGTCAGCCTTCTCCTCTTTCCCTGCCTCAGCGCCGCCAGGAGCCCAGAGAACATGCAAGCTATCAAATGTGTGGTGGTGGGAGATGGGTAGGTAACTTGGTTTGTTTCTGGACCAGGTGGTGGGGGTGGGGGTGGGTTAGCAGCGTTTAATTTTTTCTCTAGTCTGAGCTTTTTCCACTTCTCTTGCCAACTCCTTTCCCAGTCCCTTTCTCTCCCCCCCAAGAGCATTCGCTGCCTTCTAGAAGTTAGACTGTGATGGGGAGCAGTTGTAAAGAGTCATGTCTCTTCTCTCAGAAGCCTTCAGCCTGGGTGGGATACGGCGGCTTGGGCTATTGTGTCTCACCTTCCCCATCCTGACCCTACCCTAAGTCTGTTGAAGGAATGGGGCTGGAGTGAGGTGGGGTGGGGCTAAGATTCTGTGCCTAGACTGAGCTCAGCATCATGGGTATTGGTGCATCCTTGAAGAAACTTGGGCCCATGGTGAGGCTGGGAGGTAGCTTCCCTTCCATTTCTGGGGAAATTGGGCCAGGCCCAAGGCCATGATGAGACCTCTACCTGGTCCCACCACCACATTGGCATCTTTTTGATCTTCAGAGGGAATGTGACAGTTGGTGGGGGTGGGAAAGGCTTGATTGGTATGAACATCAATGTGAGAAGAGGTCGGAGGTCATGAAATCTAAATTTGGCTCAAATCGCACAGAGTACTGGACCCGGAGTCAGGAAGATCTGGGTTCAAATCCTGCCCCGGACTCTTGCTAGCTTGGGCAAGTCACTCTGAGCCTCTTCTGAAAAATGAAGGTGGTGAACTCTGACCTTTTCAGTCCCTTCCAGCTCTAAATCCATGGTACTCTAATATTTCTGGGCCTCAGTTGCTTCATTGGTAAAATAAGGGTTAGGTCAGATGATCTCTATGGCCCCTGGCAGTTCTAAATCTATAAGATGCTTTCCTATGATCTCTGCTACTTGCAACCTCTTCAATCTTGGAGAAGTTATAGAAATTCTCTGAGCTTGTTTCTTCCTCTGTGAGATAAAGAGGGGGTAGGGGAGAACTGGGTGGTTTTGATATTTCCTTCAGATATTAAATCCTCTGACCTTCTATCATCCTCTACCGGGATTTGGGCTCCAGCTGTCCCTGGCATGACCTTGAATAGGTCACTTCCCCCTGGGCCTCCATTTCCTTTTCTGCAGATAAGGACTCCATCCCCAGGGTCTCTTTTACTTCTAAGTTTATTTATTTTTTTTTCAGAAGGACCAGAGTGTGACATTTTGTATAGGGAAGAGTTAGGGAGAGCCAGGGACCAGAAAGACTCCATGTAGAACAGAGAATGTGGGGCTGGGAGAAGGCCTTAGAATGTGGAATGACAGAGCTGGGACAGCCCTCAGAGCACAGAAGGTCAGAGTCGGGTGAGGGGTGGAGGGTGGGAACTTACATAGAGCAGAGAATGCTAGAGTTAGGAGTGATCCTAGAGCCCAGAACGTCAGAGCTGGAAGAAGGCCTTAGAATGTGGAACGTCAGAGCTGGGAGTGGGGAAGGGAATCCCTAGAGCATTGAATGTTAGAGTTAGGAGAGAACCTAGAAAATGGAATGTCAGGGCAGAGAATATTAAAATCTATCAGAGCTGGGAAGGAACCTCTAAGCCCTTGGTATTATAGGTGAGGAATGTGAGGCCCAGAGTAACTTGTTCAAGGTCACACACACACTCACACCCAGTGGCTGAGCCTCGACCTGGAAGTAGGTCTGCTCACCCAAATTCCAGGGCACTTTCCTGAGCTGGCTGGAGAGGGTTGTATACAGGTGAGGAGCACCTAGCTATGTCCCTGGTTGGCACTAGGAGAGTTAATGGTGCTGGGGTACGATCTACACTGATCCCTTCCCCCTCCTCTCCCCACTCATTACTTCTCTGAACTTGTCATTGAGCCGGAAGTTGGTAAGCCAAGCCTTCTTCTTATTCAAAATGGGGAGGGGGGGAGGGGGCCTCAGGGGAGGAGAAACTGAACCAGACTGGGATAGGAAGAAAAGGAAACTTAGAAGCAAAGTGTTCACTAGACAGGAAGTCAAGACCCCCAAAGTGGAGGCCGGTCTTTATAACCCACACCTGGCCCAGGGAAACCCCCTCCCAGCTCAGGCTATGCCTCCCAAAGCCCTGTCACCTCTCCTACCCCTTATAGCTTTGATCCCAAAGTGGATTGGCCCTGAGCACATCAGAGAAGCAGGAGGCTTAGACCAAAAGAGAAGAAATGGGAGAAATAAAAAGAAACTGGGAGAGATGGGCAAAGGAAGGTCCTGGGGGGGGGGTGTCAGATACTTATGTAATCTTTGAATCATAGAATCTTAGAATGTCAGAACTGGGAGGGATCTTGGAACATCAAAAATCAGTGGTGGGAAGAGCCTGAGAATAGGGAATGTCAGAGCTGAAAGAGATCTCTCATTTTACATATGGGGACACTGAGGCCCAGAGAAAGGAGGTCTCCTAGTGAGCTTGTGGCAGAAGTGAGACCAGACTCAGGACTTCTGGCTCTCAAGTGTTTTTCCTGTTCTATTACTGGGAGGAGGAGGAGGAGGAGGAGGAAGAATACTGGTGTCCCACAGAAAGTGTGGTGAGCTTAGAGTTTATTCCTCATGGACAGCTTGGTGTGATTGGCTTGAGGGGGGTTAAGGAGTGGCTAGCCCTCAGGCCCTAAAGGGGAGGGCTGCTTCTTCACTGGAAATGGGAAATACAAAGGGAGGAGCTGCTAAACTTCTCCCCTGTCTCTTCTTCATTTCAGAGCTGTGGGTAAAACCTGCCTCCTCATCAGCTATACCACCAATGCCTTTCCTGGAGAATATATTCCCACGGTGTGAGTACCCAGACAGGGAGGGGATGGTCTGGGAAAGGGCAAGGGGGTGAACTCAAAAGCTCTATGTGGGGAAGGAGAATTTAATCCTGTCAAGACTGGGTGGTATAGTGTATAAAACAGGCTCTGGAGTCAGGCCCTGGATTCAGATCCTACATTGTCCACTTACTAGCTGTGTGTCCTTGGACTAATCACTCAGCCTCTCTGATCTCAGTTTCCCTACCTATAAAATGAAAATGGCAGACTAGAAAATCTTTAAGTTCCCTCCTCACTCTGAATTACAGAATTGAGTGAGAAGGAATATACTCAGGGGTCTGATCCAGACTGGTCATGAGCTGGAATTCCCTTTATAACAGCATTCTTCTGAAGTAGCTAAACTGTCTTCATCTGAATACCTTCGTTGCCTGTGTTGTTTAATTATTTTTCAGTTGTGTCCAACTCTTCTTCCTCATCACCGTATTTGGGGTTTTCTTGGCAAAGACACTGGAGTGGTTTGCCATTTCCTTCTCCAGCTCATTTTACAGATGAGGAAAAGGAGGCAGACAGTGTTAAATGAATTGTCCAGGGTCACACAGCCAATAAGTATCTGAAGCCACATTTGAACTCAGGAAGATGAGTCTCCCTGACTCCAGGCCTGGTGCTCTATCCACTGCAGCGCCACCTTGCTACCTATCATTGTTTGCAGAGCTAGGCTATTCTACTTTGGGCTGGATATAAACATTAGAAAGGTTTTTTCATGTATGCATCTGAATTCTGCCCTTGGCAGATTCTGCTTTTGCCCTCTGGGTCCAGCAGAACAAAGTTAATCCCTATTCTACATAATGGTCTCATGAACTCTTGAAGCCAGGTCCCCAAGCCTTATCCTCTCCAGGCCAAACACCCAGTTCTTTCTACTAATCCCTGTATGGCATAGTGGCCAGTCTCTTTGTCAACATGGTGGTCTTATTTTATCTCTTTTTTTTTTTGGCTAGGCAATGGGGTTAAGTGACTTGCCCAGGGTCACACAGCTATTAAGTGTTATGTGTCTGAGGCCGGATTTGAACTCAGGTCCTCCTGAATCCAGGGCCAGTGCTCTATCCACTGCACCACCTAGCTGCCCTGGCAGTCTTACTTTAGATTATCTCCTACTTGTTCATGTCCTGTCTAAAATGTGGCTCTTTTTGTAATCTGATCAGAGTAGAATATTCCTTCCCTTGCCCTTTAGAGCAGGCTAAAATGGTGTTAGCTTTTTGGAGACTCCACTACACTGTTGACTCTTACGATGCTTTTCATAGCCCCATTTTACAGATGGAAGACACTGAGGCTCAGAGTGTCATACAGCTAGGGAGTATGTCTGAAGCAGAATTCTAAGCCAAGTCCTCCTAAAGAAGGGTCTAGGGTTCCAGTTGTCCCTTTCTGGCCTGTGATCATTTTCTTTACAGGGACTATCTTAGCCCTTAACATTCCTTCCATTTATTGTAGGCGCTCACACAGGAGATCCTTCTGTGTTTCCATCCTGGGAGTTTAAAGAGGTGCCCTTCAAGAGAGGGATGACCCTTTGTCCAAATCCTAGTGGTAGCTTCTGTTCACTGGGACCTCATGCACACGAATACAACAAAGAGATCATAGAATCTCCAAGTTGAAAGAGACTTCAGACATGATCTATTCCAGGTTGGATGTAAAAAAGATTTTCCTCTTCAGTATCCGTGAGAAATGACTATCTAACCTCTTCTTGAATACCATCATGGACAGGGAGCTTGTTACCTTAAAAGGCAGTCACTTTAGGAAAGCTCTGATTGGAAAAAAGTTCTCTCTCTGTTTCCCCATCCCCATTAGTCTATTCCTTCATTTGATCTTTGTATGTCATGGTTTCTAGTCCCTTCTTTATCCAGGTCCAGAAAGACTGCTATCATTAGGCAGGTACCTTGTGTGGTAGCTAGCACATTGGATATAGAATCAAGGAGACCTGAGTTCAGATTTTGCCTAAGTAACTTCCTAGCAGTGTGACCTTGGGCGAGTCACTTCCTTCCTCTGGGCATCAGTTTCCCCATCTGCCTAATGAGGCAGTTGGACAAGATGATCTCAAAGGACCCTTCCAGTTTTAGACCTAGAATCCTTTGCTCTTATTAACCTCATCACTATTTTCTTTGCCTTCTGAATAAAAAGTGTACCACGTCAATTGATACAGCTTGGTCTTTCGAGATATTCTTTCGTTGTGCCCTGTCTGCTCTGGTCCTAGCTCTGACCCTTGCTGAGGGATTATCCAATGTCCCATCAGAAGCTGGAGGCAGACCCACAATTCCAAGGTGGTGACTGCTGCCTCTCATGGGATTATAGACTCATGGGTTCAGAGCAGTGAGGGACTCAGAGGCCGTCTTGTACAGCCCCTTTGTTTTACTGATGAAACAGACCCAGGGAGGTTAAATGATTTACCCAAGGTCACGCAGATAGTAAGCATCAGAGGCAGATTTTTACCCCAGGTCCTCTGACTCTGAAGCCAGGGAGCTTTCTACTATGCCACGCTCTGGCCTCCCCACTCCAACTTCCCCCAAAGTACCTCTTGGACCCTGGGAATCCCCCTGCAATTTATCTTGGATGAGAACCTCTGAAGTTACAGGGAGGCAGATTTAGGGTCAATAGAAGGAAGAATGCCCTGGCATTTAGAGTTGCCCGATGGAATGTGTTGCTTTGGGAGGTACTGAGTTCCCCATCTCTGCAAGCATTAAAGAAGAGACTTTCTACTATGCCACACCACCTCCAGTCCATCAACACAGACCCTGCTAGGGATGCTATTGAGTGGATTCTTGCTTGGAAGGGAGGTTGAACTGGCTGACTTCCAAGGTCCAGATTTTAAGAGCCTAAGATGCTAAATTCCTTACCTCACTCAATAAAGATCAACTGTTTATTTGCAGAATCCCTCACCCCTCATCCTTTCAGCAGGTATTTGAGGGGTAAGAGGAAATGGAAGAATGGGATGAATTTACTCCATTACCTATGCGACAACAGGGCTGCCATAGCCACATAGGGCCCTCCCGCCTCTGACCCCCTTCTTGGTTAGAGCAGCTCAAAGGATCTTGTCATGTTTACTAGAAGCCAGTCATGTGGCTCTTTCTATTTCAGCTGCTCCGACCAAGCCTTCAAGAGGAATAGTTAGCCACCCAAGGAGAAGATGTTTAGAGAGGAAAAAAATCCCATCACTTACTGACCCAAAGATCAAGAGATCTGAATTCTGGAGCCACCTTTAATTGGCTTCATGACTTTGGGAAAAATCTCTCTTCCTCTGTTTCCCTATCTGGAAAATGAAGGAGGAGAAATGCATCATCTGTTAGGGACCTTCAGGTTCTAACATTCTATGGTTTCTGCTTAGTAATGGTGGGGAGCACAAGCATTTATGAAGTGTCTTCTTTCTGTCACATACATGGTAGGGATATAAAAACAAAATTGAAAGAGTTCTGCCTTCAAGGAGCTAATATTCTATCAGGAGTATAGCACGTACACACATAAATATACACGGAGTACAGACAGGGTAATTGGTGAAAGATGGGGAGGATTAGGAAAAGTTTCCTGTTGAAAGTGATATTTGAACAGATCTTTGAGGGAAATGAGGCATTCTAAGAAGCAACCATGAGGAGGGAGTGCATTCCAGGCTGGGCAAACACTTGGAGATAGGAGATAGAATGTCATGTATGAGGAAAGGCAAGAAAGCCAGTGTGTGAAAAGGATCAATGTCAAGCAAGGATGGAGATGTGAGGTCTCCCGCTCTGGCTGTTCCAGAGTGAGGCACCTTATGACACTATGTCTGGAGACCTTAGGGGGTTTAGGGTTTGCACATTGATGGTACAAAAAGCAGATTAAAGCATGAAGAAGAGAAAAGAAGCCCACGTGTGGAGGCTGGTGTGTTGGCCATAGGGCACCAGTACTCTCTAACTAGCTGCGTTACCCCAAGCCAATCACTGAAATTGTCTGGATTGTAGCCTCCTCCTCTGTAAAATGGCAAGGTCAGATCATATGATGTCAGTGGCTTCTCTTAGCGCTGACATAGAATATGGGATAAAAAAAATGTATGGTGAACATTTGGAGATTTAGATAAGGAACTGAATGACAGTTTAGCAATTCTGGGGGTTTCCCTCTATGGTATGTGTGTGTGGACCCAATCCAAATCCAATGTTTACAAGGTTTGTAAAAGGGTGTAAACAGTGCCCTAGCACGTTTATTTCCAGCCAGTCATGTGGCTCTTTCTATTTCATCTGCTCTGATCAAGCCTTTGGAGGAACAGTTAGCCACCAAAGGGGAAGAGGTTCAGAGGGGGAAAAATCCCACCACTTACTGGCTTGGGGAAGAGCACTGACCAAGGAGGAGGTCAGAGGTGGGAGGGATGTACATGACTGCAGCAGCCCTGTGTCATATGGGAAAATCATTGAGCAAAGAGCCAGAAAGCCTGAATCAGAAAACTGGCTCTGACTCTGAACAGCTGTGGGACCCTGAGGAAGCCTTGTGACCTCTCTGAGTTTACGTTTCCTAATCCAGTCCAGTCCTAGTCCAGCCCAACCCAGCCTAGTCCAATCTAATTCAGTTCAGTATAATCCATTCCAATCCAAAACTCTTTCCAAGTTCACACAGCTAATGATGATGATGATGATGATAATAATAATAATAATACAAAGTAGCAAATATAAATGAAAATGGAATATAATAAATGAATGAGAAAACATCTATTAAGCATTTACTGCATGCAAAGCATTGGTAATACAAAAGTAACTTCTGAGGTCTCTGTAGCTCTTGAAGCCCCACACATTCATGATACACTTGAATCCTCATAACAACCCTGTGAGGTAGAATCTATAATTACTCCCATTTTACAGATGAATAAACCAAGACCCAGAGACCAAAAATGACTTCCCCAAGGTCACAAGGTAGATAGTGGCTGACACAGAATAAGAACTATGACTGCGCATCTAGGATCCCTTGCATTTTACTACACTGCCTCTCTGAGCCTTACTTTCCCCATCTATAAAATGGGGATG